TGGAACAGCAATTAGTCTAGTAATTGGCCTAACCACTGGAATCCAAAGCCAAGCCAAATTGACACACAGAATGGACCCAAACTACCCAGTTTTACTGACGAGGCACCCAGAAATGAGTTCCCTTTTCCAAGCTCACATGGTTCCATGATTCCAGCTTAGCTGATTCCAAAGCTCTTAGCTCCTGGACTCTGCACAAACCCGTCAGAAACTGTTGCCTGAGCATCATCCAGCCCACACCTCAGTCGTTACTGTTCTGAGTCGGTACACAAGCTTCCCCTCCTGCCAGGACAGAGGGAAAGCTCCAGCCTGTCCACTCTGCAAGCCGCTATCAAGCACCTGCCGGGTGCTCACCACTGTTCTTGGTGTTTCTCGGTGCCCAGCACTGGGGGCACAGCCGTGAAGAAGTGAGTGGTGGTTCCTGTCTTTGCCAAGTTGACATTCTCGTGGAGGAAGACCCCAAACCTCACATCCGTCCAGGATGAAGAAGATCTTCTAAGACACTGGCACTAGCGTGGAGAACAGAAAATATAGGGCCCTCAAAAATGGGGGATGGGAGGGCAGCGAGTGCCCATCAGAGTTGGCTAATGGGAGATTAGCCCTGTGTCCATGCAGGTCCAGCCAGCCAGTGGTCTCAGGCCATGCCCATTCTCATTCCAGACCTGCGGGACATGTCCCTGATGATCCTGAGCACAGAGACCCCCCAGGACTTCTTCACCAAGTACCAGCTGGTACTCCACGTGGCCGAGGCGGAGATGGACAAAGTGCGTGTGTTTCACTCCAACGGTGCGTTGTCCTTCGCCTCCACCTGTCTCTGAGCCTGCCTCCCGCCTGCCCCCTCCAGGGGCACAGCCTCTCCGGGGGCCATCCTGAGCGCCAACGCTGTGCCAGGCTCTAAGAACCAGACAGACAGCATCCAGGCACTGTCTTCTAGGGGGGACACGGATATGCTGTGAACACACAAACATACACGGACAGACACGGACACATGCATATACACACATACAGACATACATATATACAGAAAGACACACATACATGCATACAGACACAGAGACACACACAGGCATGCACGCACATACAGAGACATACACACACACAGACACACACATAGACGTACATGCATACACATACACACCCCTGAGAGAATGTGTTAGTAAGTTCTGTGCAGCAAATAGCCTCCCTCAGAGCCACTTTGATTACTGTCCTCTGCTCTTGCGGCCCCTGTCTCTCTCTCACACACGGTGGCCTTGAGTCTACAGAGCTTTTGAATCCACACAGACTGCATGCTTTGGCCATCATTCAATTCCCAACACCCTGCTAATCAAAACGCAAGCCCATTGCCCCAGAGTCGATTCCGGCTCACGGCGAGCCCGTCTGAGCAGCACCGGGCTCCATCGGCTTGCCAGTGGCTGGTTTCAGAAGTAGAGCACTGGGGTTTACCTCTGGGTAGATTTGAACCTCCAGCCTTTCCGTGAGCAGGTGGGCGCATTAAGCATTAACCATTTGCCCAGCAGGGCTCCCCGCTGCTAATGAAGGGTGTCAATGATTGCACAGCAATGCAGGCACGCCTGCTACTAAGTGCCAGCCTCGGCTCCAGGGAGCCTGGGGACAGAGCAGTGAAAAGCAAGCCCCACCCTCTGGTCACCTCAGAGGGCTGAGAGAGAGCGCACTTCAAACGCACTTCAAACAACGTTGTGGAATACTGAGTGTGTCCGTGGAGTGGGGGCAATCCAAGCGTAGGGGGGAGGCTTCCCGGGTGGTTGTCACTGGAGCAGAAGGGAGTGTGGGACTAGCAGATGCTGGGCAGCAAGGCCGGGCGAGCCAGGGCACGGGGCACAAAGCACAGGAAGCGTGAAGGCCCTGGGCTGAGGGCAGGCCTGTGGGCTGGTGGACTCTGGGCGGCTGCTGGGACTGGAGCAGGGTGTGCCAGGGGGATGTGGGGGGTGAGGGCAGAGAAGAGAGGGCAGCTGGAGAGGACTGCGGGAGCCCCATCGGATGGCTTGCCCGGTCCTGCGGCTGTCGCTGGTCTCTCACGACCAGAGTGGAGCTGCTGTGTGGGCCGGTCAAGGCTTGGGCTTTAGGAAGCAGCTCGCTGGGGCTGTCTTTCGGCGTGCCTCCCCGGATGGGCCCCCAACAGCCAACCTTTTGGCCAGCTCCACTCTTTTTCTGAGCCACAGTAATTCCACTGACCTTCATCTGGTGGCCCGCCAGGCCCCGCCTCCTCCAGGAAGCCCTCCTCCCTTGCCCTCCGGGTTTCCCTCCATCACAGCCCCTCTCCCTCTGATTGGAGGCTGCTTCTCCTGGTGACCACCCTGCGCACTTTGGGGCGAGGACAGTGACTCTCTCGGCAGTACCCCCAGGTCTCCACTGAGCTCTGGCTGGAATAGGTGCTTGTGAATGACTATGAATGAGTCATAGGGTGTCCCGGACTTCCTGTCACTTTTCAAATGGCCAAGGTACCCCCATGACTCCCTTCCTGGCGCCCCCAGCCCAGGGAGCAACAGCCCAGCTGGACCTGGGCCCTCCACTTCCATGGGGCGACCCCAGCCCTACTTGGCTGCGAGGACCATCCCCTGGGGCCCACGCAGTGGCCTGGGGTTGTTCCCACACCAGAAGAGAAACAGGGTCTGCAGAGTGGGCGCAGCCCTGAGTCTCCCCTGCCCTTCCCCCAGGCGGTGGCAAGTCGCTCTCCAAGCCCAGGATGGTCCTGGGACCCAAGCAGTCCTCTCATGCCCTGCAGCTCTCCGGCGGCCAGCAGAGTGCCACCTTCCATGTGGAGGGCCTCGCGTTCCCAGACGCCAGCTTCCCGGGGCTCATCTCCCTCGGAATCTCCCTGCTGGACACCTCCAACCCAGTAAGCCAAGACGGCAGCTCAGGGTGGGGCCGGGTGGTGGAGGGGGACCCCAAACAGCCTCCAGGGAAGCGGGACACGTTGGTTGGACCCCAGAGGCTGTCCTGACCCTTGGCCCCTTCCCACAGGAAACTCCCGAAGTCCTGGTTTTCCAAGACCACGTGACCTTCCACGTGGCCCCGTGGATCATGACTCCCAATACCCAGCCCCCACAGGAGGTGTATGTGTGCAGGTGAGGGCCACGGGGCCAAACATGGGGGTGGACTCCTCACTCCCACCCCTGGGCCCCAAACTCCCGCACCAGAAACTCCTGGAAACCGGCTTACGGTGCATGTTCCTGGCCACCCCCTGACCTGGGTCTCACCTCCGGGGTTGCCCTAGGCATCTGTCCTTGGCTTGAGAGCCATTGGCAAGTATGGGGGCCCCAGGCAGCCCCTCCTCTCCTCTTCCAACTGCTTCTGGGGCAGAGGTGTGAGTGCAGCTTGGGTCAGATGCCTACGTTTCAGTCCCAAACTGTCCCCAGGTGGGTGGAGGGACTCCCTCTCTACCTCGGTCTTGGTGACGCGGCTTCCTGTCCCTCGGGAGCCCTGGTGGCAAAATGGTTACGGGTTGAACTGCTAACCGCAAGATGGGCAGTTTGAAACCACCGGCCACACCAGCTGCTCTGAGGGAGAAAGATGAGGCTTTTTACTCCCCTCAAGAAACCCACCGGGGCGGTCCTACTGTGTCTTGTACGGTCACTATGAGTCGGAGTTGATTCGATGGTCAGGCGTGAGAAGGGCAGACTGGATGAGTCTGGACAACCACTGTCTCTGGAGTGCCTGCCTCCAGCCCCTTCGCCGCCACCGCCCCAGCCTGGCCTCTTGCGCCCCCTAAGGGGAACCAGGCTGTCCAGCTTGCCCCTCAGAGCCCGGCCCGGCCACTGGCCAAATCCAGAACACTCGCTGAGGGTCTGCCTTTCTGTTCCGCCCAGTTTTTTGGAAAACAAGGACTTCCTGAAGTCCCTGAGAGCCCTGACCAAGAAAGCCAAGTGCAAGCTGACCATCTGCTCCGAGGCAGAGAGCAAGAATGACAAGTGGATGCAGGTAAGCAGCTCGGCGGGTCCAGGTGCTCTGGGCACTTAGGGCTCTAAGGCTCCAATCCAGTGCCTTGCCAGGCACATTTTCTCAGATGGGCAGGGAGCTGGGAGCCTCAGGTCAGTGAGCCAATCAATGTAGGCTATGGTCCACTGCATGCCCACCCAGGAGCCTTGCCAACTCTCAGCCCCCCATTCAGGCCTCACCCTTGCTGCTGCTCCAGCATTAACTCTGGCTGCCCAGGCCTCCTCCCCACCCTGCTTTGACGGTCCACCCCCTCTGGCTGCTACCCTAGCTTGTTCCTGCCCAGCCACTCCCGACGGCCCACCTCCCATGGCCCAGTGAGCTCACCAAGCAGAGGCCGGGCCTCATTCAGCTCACCATTCACGTGGGCCCTCCCTGCGGTGCCCCTGCCCACACCTTTGTCACTCTATGTCAGGGATTAAACCAGATGAAATTGCCCACATGCCAGCACTGCTTACCTATGCAAATGGAAATTTCACATGGTTCCACTTAACAAGAGACTTATGCCCAGGATCACGTCTGCCTGAGGAGTTCTGGTGGCTTAGTGGGTTACATGTTCCCACCCACCCACCCACAGCCCCTCCCATAAAGACTGACAGCCTTGGAAACCCCTGGGGCAGGTCTACCCTGTCTTGTAGGGTTGCTAAGAGCCGGCATTGACACCGTGGCAGTGAGTTGAGTTTGGGTAATCACATCTCCCTGCCAGCAAGACACAAGTCCTTTGAAGCAGGATCTGTACCAGACTCATCTCTGAGCCTCCTGCTCGTGCACTCGGTGGGGGCCTTTATGCCCCTCCTTTGGCACAGGCCGGGCGACAGAGGAGGGGGCTGTTGGTACCCCCCAGGCTGCCTTCCTTCCAGGCACCCATCTCTGGCTCACCCCAATCCCAATAGTATGAGGTGCCCCTCCCCATATTCCCACAGGCCTCCCGACTTCCCTTCACCCTTCTACCATGGGTGACAGCTGCCCGGCTGCCTGGCTTGGTCACTTTCAGACACAGGCTCCTTGAGGTTAGGGTCCCAGCCCCCAGCCAGGGCACCCAGCAGGAATGGGGGTGAAGGATGAGCCAGGCAAGGCAGGATGTATGTTGGGGGTGGGGGTTGGGGTGGGGGGAGTGTGAGACTCAGTGGGTAGCTCCATGCCCCTCCCTGCCCCTTGTCTCAGCCACGTTCCTGCTTGCCCTGCACAGGATGAAATGGAGATTGGCTACATCCAAGCCCCACATAAAACGCTGCCCGTGGTCTTCGACTCGCCCCGGAACAGAGGCCTGAAGGACTTCCCCGTCAAGCGCTTGCTGGTACCTGAGTAGGGGTGGAGTGGCCCGCTGACCAAGCTTCCTGCCCTTTCTTCTTAACCTGCCCCCCGCCCCCCACACACCTACACACACACACTGAGCAGAACCCCTGCCTGGGGCACAGCTAGGTGGGGGTGGTTCTTCTTGATCTTTTGGATGGTAAGATCCGGCTCATTTCGCAACAGCCTGCAACAACCTTGCCACCGAGGAGCTCACCTTGTCCTCAAAGGGCACAGGGCAGCCTCCGGTGCCCTTGATGGACTGGGCGGGTGGAGCCAGAATTGCTACCTTTCCCAAAAGGCACATGAAGGTTGTGTTGGGGGTATAGGGGCAGAGTTGAGTCTGCGGGGCTCCCTGGTGGCTTTCAGGACCAGACTGGTCATTCCCTGCTTGTGAGAGTATCGGCCACAGGCTGTGTCTATGTGTCTGTGTGGGCGCCTGAGTGTGGAGTGAGTGTGAGTGTGTGTGACGGGCTGGGTGACATGTTGGTGAGTCTGGTTGGACCGTCCCAGCAGGCACATGCAGACACAGCCAGAATACCAATAACCACCACGGAGATGATGCCCGTGGCCCGGCACAAAGCACTGACTTGCTGACTTCGCCCAACAGCCTTTTATGTGGATGTCACTCATTGGTCCAAAGGAGCCCTGGTAGTACAGTGGTGACAAGTCAGGCTTCTAACCACAAGGTCTGCAGTTCAAAACCACCAGCCAGCTCTGTGGGAGAAAGACGTGGCTTTCTACTCCCATAAAGAGTTATAGTCTCGGAAACTCTTATAGGGTCACTGTGCGTTGCCACCGATTTGATAGCAATGAGTCTTTTCTTTTTCTATTAATAAACCCATTTCACACAGGTGGAGATGCTCGGGCTCTGAGCATGCTCTTAACTCCCAGGCCTCCCAGCTGGCTCAGGAAGACCCTCACTCTGAGCCCTCCGTGCCCCTTGGAGTTTGGGTGCCCAGGGAACGGTGCCCAGATTTTCCCCTCCTGGGCAGCCTCCCTCGCCTCTCAGCGTTGCTATGAACAGGTTGCAACTGAGCTTCCAGGCGAAGGTGGACTAGGAAGGCAGGCCTGGAGACCTCCTTCCAAAATCCCTCCTCGCACAGGGATCCTCAGTGCATGCTCTTCCGTGGCAGGGCCCAGATTTTGGCTACGTGGCTCGAGGGGCCCCGGAAGACAAGATCTCCAGCCTTGACTCGTTTGGGAACCTGGAAGTGAGCCCCCCGGTCACAGTCGGGGACAAGGAATATCCGCTTGGCAGGATCCTCATTGGAAGCCACAGTTACCCCAGGTGAAAAGGGGAGGGGTGGCCAGGGCCCAGAGGTGCCTCTGTTACCTGCCCCAAGCCAAGAGGGCTCAATAAGCTTAAGAGACTGTGAGAGGAACCAGTCAGGACAAGGGATGTGGACTTTGAGGCCCATAGACCCAAGTTCAAATCCTAGCTCCACCTCTGAGATTCGCTCTGTCAGGCTACTTCCTGAGCGTCTGCTGTGTACCAGGCATCCTGCTCACTGAGTTCACTGCCACATCGAGCTGATGCCGACTCACAATGACCCCAAGGGGGGGGGGTAGAAATGCCCCTGTGGGTTTCCGAGACCCTAGCCCTTTATGGGAGTAGAAGGCCCCTTTTTTCCTCCCGAGGGCTTCAAACTGCTGACCTTGTGGATCTCAACCGGATTCCTAACCACCACACCACCAGGGCTCCTGACAGGTCAGACTGGCCCCAAGCCCCACTCTTTTCACATCCCCAGCCATCAGTTTTCTCAGGCTAAGCTCCAGCCGGCCGGCCCAGTTTACCCTAGTCATTCTGTGCCTCGGTTTCCGCCAATAAACCAGGCAGGATAAGCATCCCCAAACGCCACTCTAATAAAGGTGAGAGGCATTCCGGCCTCTGGCATCTCTCCACTAGCTGCAGGAGAATCCTGACCCCTTGCCAAGTGCCCTACCCCTGCTGATCACCCGCCAACCACACGCTCCTCTCTCCCTGCATGGCAGCCAAACCAGCCGGGACATGCACCCGACCCTGCAGGACTTCCTTGCGGCCCAGCGTGTGCAGGCCCCTGTGAAGCTCTATTCTGACTGGCTGGGCGTGGGTCACATTGACGAGTTCCTGAGCTTTGTGCCGGCACAAGGCCAGAAGGTACAATCTGGAGGCCTGCCTGGAGGAGGCTGCATACCTCCTTCCTGGCTTCCCAGGTCTGATTCTCTTTCCCTCACCCCTGGGTAGGGGGTGTGGAGGAGGTAGCCAGCCTGGGACCAAGTCCTCCCCTCCCACCCCTTTAGCCAAGCCCAAGGGCCACACTGACCTCTGACTTCCATGTTTCCTGCTTCCAGGGTTTCCGGCTGCTCCTGGCCAGCCCCCGGGCCTGCTACAAGCTGTTCCAGGAACAAGAGCAGGAAGGCCATGGGGACGCTGTGATGTTTGAAGGGGTCAGGGGTAAGTGGAGCGTGGCTGTGCCCCCCTGGGGCACATCACTTGGCAAAAGGAGTCACCAGGCGACAGATAGTTTCTGAGCACTGACGACAGGCCAGGCACTCGCTAGGTGCCAGGGACACTGCGTGAGCAGGGAGAGGGACAGCCAACCCTCAGGACTGACAGCTGTGACACAGGGGCCTGGGAGGGCATCAGGGCATGCTCCCCCAGGGGAGGATCCCGCAGGACTCTGAGGTGTGAGGAGCTGGCCGGGCAGGGGGAAGGGAAAATATTACAAGCATGGAACGGGGAATGCAAACAACTCAGAGGCAAGACGGTGCAAGACGCATCTGAGGATCTGAAGGGCCCTCTCGGGTCACAGAGCCTCAGCCGAGACACACAGAAGGCCATGTAGGGCCGTGGATGCTCCAAGTCCACCTGCAGGGTCCACACGTGGATGAAGCCTCCGGTGACTCCCCTCTGACCACAGTCGAGGGACGTGAACCACCTTGCCATCAGACAAGAGAGCATTGCCAAGTTGATGCTGGCTGATGCAGATGGGTTAAAATGTAGCATCTTATCATTTGATCTCCCTTTTGACCCCTTTTTAATTTGACGGGAAACACACATAGATTAAGCCTCAGGTGAATTCCCTAAAGCAGGAGTCCTCAAACTATGGCCCTCGGGCCACATGAGGCCCACCGAGGAGGACCTTTATCCGGCCCGCCGGATGTTTTTGCCCCGTTTTGTTTTTCACTTCAAAATAAGATACGTGCAGTATGCATAGGAATTTGCTCATCATTTTTTCTTAAACTATAGTCCGGCCCTCCAACGGTCTGAGGGACAGTGAACTGGTCCCCTGTTTAAAGAGTTTGAGGACCCCTGCCCGAAGACATTGATGAGATCTCGGCATTCCTTTGCTGAACTTCAGTGTTCCTGGGTAGGGGTTGAGGTCCGAGGTTGACCAGGCCCCACTTCTGAGCATTTCGGCCTTATCCCTGTAGTTTGGGTAGCTGTTACTTGCCCCTGCCCACCCCCCCTACCCCCCGCCGCCCCCTTCCACCCATAGAAGGGATCTATCTCTTTGTTGATGAGAGCAGCACTTTTGGTGAGAACTGAGCCTGTGGATGTGATCACAGCCTGCTTCAGAACCACTCGGGGCTCCCTGAGAACACACTGGGCCGTGAGTCCCCCGCTGTCCTCTGCCCCTGGGCCGAGATAAGGGAGCTTGCCTGACCCCCGAAGGGAAGGAGAGATGAAATAAAAAACGGTGGAGAAAATCTTGAGGAAGAAGGCGAACCTCAGCAGGCTCCCACAGCGCAGCTCCAGCAGGGCCCGCTGCTGGGTGCCCAGCCTGGAGGCCAGGCCAGGGCGGGCGGGCAGGTGACCACGAGCTAGAGGGCAGAGAGCTGCACATCTGTCAGGAAAAGCCAGGCGGATAAGTCCTCCCGTCTTAGCACATGTGCCCAAGGTGTCTGCTCTGAAAACCAGCATTGCTTCCCAGGCGTGCATGACTCACACACGGAGCATCAGTTAGTGTCCAGCCCCATTTTGTAGCTGGGGAAACGGAGTCTTCACAGCACCGCCCGAGAAGAGGGAAATGGACCCCTGAGCTCATCTACGTTTTTTGTTGCTTCCTCCATGACAGGAAAAAAACAGCAGAAAATAAAGAACATCCTATCGAACAAGAAATTGCGAGAACACAATTCATATGTGGAGGTACAAGCCAGGAGAGGCCAGCCCACCTCAGCCACCTTCCCTGCAACTGGGGGCGCAAGTCCAGAGCCTCCATGGGCTGCATGTTGGATCAGTGTTGGGTGGTCCCCCGGGGGCCATCCCTTAGGGTTCCTGTGAAGGAGAGTCACCAGAGAGAGGGCTGTCACCTGCCTCAGCACAGGCGGATGCATGAACAGAAAAGTCAGGATGGACCAAGTGAGGCAGAGGGGCAGCCTGAGAGGCCAAGGGTTACTGTGATGCAGGGCCCCGGAAGATGGAGACACAGAAGAGACGAGCCGGGCAGGGGGTGGGGTAGGGTGGGCCTGCACCCAGGCAGAGGCGCAGAGCAGGGATAAAGAGGAGCGAAGAGGTCCATGGAGTGCTAGGGAGCTGCCAGGCCCAGGCGCTGCTCTGGGGGCACTGTGTGGACTCAACACCCTCCCCCCACCCCCCAGAGCTGCATTGACTGGAACCGCGAGGTGCTGAAGCGGGAGCTGGGCCTGACGGAGCGCGACATCATCGACATCCCCCAGCTCTACGAGCTCCCCAAGGGGCCCCACAAGGCCGAAGCCTTCTTCCCAAACATGGTGAGGAGGGGGCAGCCAAGAGGCCAGTAGGGGGGCTCTCAGGGGCCTGGGATTTGTGCAGCCCTTCACTACAGAGGCGCCCCGGTGGCATAATGGTTACACACAGAGCCGCTAATGGCAAGGTCGGCAGTTCGAAACCACCAACCGCTGCCCAGGAGAACGACCGGGCTTTCTACTGCCATCAAGTTGCTGGCTCGGACACCCGCAGGGGAAGTTCTGGCCTGCCCTATGGGGTTGGTATGAGTCAACTGCGGGGCTGTGAAGACAGAGAGGGCTGAGTGCAGGCAGTCACGGCTGCTTCCTAGAGGAGGTGGCACCTGAGCTGAGCCTCGAGTAATAGACAGAAGTTGCCAGGTCTCCGGTGGGGAGGAGAGGGCATGTTGTGAGCAGGGAGCTTGGAGTTCTACAGGTTTGGGGTCGTCCTAGCCCAGCCGGATGGTGTTACGCAAGCCTGTGCTTCAGGCCCCTCAGCTAGACACACCCTCTGCCACCAAGTCAACACGGACTCAGAGCAAGCCCAGAGGACAGGGAAGAACAGGAGTAGAGAGCGGTGTCTTTCTCCCAAGGAATGCCTGGTGGTTTTGAACTGCCGGCCTTGGGGATCACAGCCCCATGTGAAAGCAGCGGTGCCCTGACCCGGGACCCTGCCTCTGCAGGTGAACATGCTGGTGCTGGGCAAGTTCCTGGGCATCCCCAAGCCCTTCGGGCCCCTCGTCAATGGCCGCTGCTGCCTGGAGGAGGAGGTGCGGTCCCTGCTGGAGCCGCTGGGCCTGCACTGCACCTTCATGGATGACTTCATCTCGTACCACTTGATGCACGGGGAGGTGCACTGTGGCACCAATGTGCGCCGGCAGCCCTTGCCCTTCCCGTGGTGGAACATGGAGTTCTGAGCTGGCCTCTCCCAGCATCCTCTCCTCCCAGAACCTCCAGGTCAGAGGCTTCTGGTCCTCCTGCAGTGCCACAGTGCAAAGCTCTGGGGGACACTTTGGCTCCCCAGGGGCTGCCGACCCTCCCAGCAGTGGTTGCTTGCTTCCCTGTGTCCAACCCCCTGGGTCCCCTCTGAAGACCCCAAGACTGTCCCAGCATCGCAAACTCCACCCTGACTATGAGAAGCTGTGATTAAGTCTGCTTTGTTTTGTTTACAATGTTTTTAGAGTCACTTTGTACAGGTCATTCCTATCGCTCACGCGCTCATTCGCTCCCCTGGAATTCAATGTTGAAGACTTCAAAATTCCACTGTGATGTGCTTAAGGCTAACATTGCTGCGTGTTTTTATTTTCCTGGGCATAATGGGTTACGAGCTGGGCTGCTAACTGAAAGGCCAGCGGTTCAAACCCAGCGACCACTCCTCAGGAGGAGGAGGAGGAGGCTTTCTGCTCCCACAAAGATTGCCGGCCTCGGCCAGCCAATAAAAAGGGCAGGTTTGCCCTGTCCTACAGGGTTGCTCGAGGTGGAATCACCCACTGGCAGCAGGTGAGGCATATACCATCCTGACTGGTGGCTGATGTGCCGGCACTAGCTCTCCAGGCCTTTCTTCCGAGGTGCCCCTGGGTAGACTCGAACCCCCAACCTTTCCATTAGCAGCTGAGTGTGTGGACTGTTTGCATAAATGGAGGGTAAGTTAAAAAGTAGCTCAACTAGAGCTTTGGTTCATACCTGCTGTACAGGCTTATTATTACAGACAGAACGTTTAGATGTGCCTCTGTCCTCAGTGGGTGGCTGCAGACAGGTTCTCTCAGTAATACCTTTGTCGGGGTCTCATGACGGTTCGGTGACCACCGCAATGTGTCCTACTATGGGGGAAACGGTCCACCTCTACACGTCCATCCAGGCTGCGGAAGGAAAGGCCTGGGACCCAGAACATCGTCAGATCAGGAGACTGGTGACAGGGAGCCCTTCCTTCTCCAGTCCTTCTCCCTGTTGGCGGGGTCTCCCCTGCCCTGGGCACACCGCAGCCCTCTGTCTCTTGCACACACGTGGGCACACGAGACACCTGATCGATCCTCCTCCACGTCTGTGCCTCGAGGGGAAGGGTGTCTGGACTAACACACGAGGGGGTGTGGTGCACAGTATCTGCCCCGCACCAGTCAAGTGTGGAACAAACCTGCTGGCCCTGGGAGGCCGGTGCCCACCTGTGACACTGCCCTGTCTCTTCTCATTTCCCATGCACTGAAGGGCGTATGAGCGAGCTTTCTCTGGCGACCTCAAACCTTGCCTCTGTAGGACGCTTGTCCAGAGAATGAACCTGCTGAACTTTGCAACTTCTAATCCAACTGATGGGATTTTCGAGAGCTCAGTACCTGCTGCTGAACCAGCGAAGCCATCGCTGGCAGCTGCACTATGCACTAAAAGCCTTAAGCCCCGGCCCCAACACCCTAAGAGGCGTGAGGAGTCAGGTCTTCCCCCGCTGTGCCCATGCTGAGGTGCGCCGAGGTGCCTCACCCTCTTCAGGGGCTCCAATGAACGTCTGCAACACGGTCCCCTGAAAACCAGGGAGGTGGCCATGACCAGGTGGTCCTTGTGTGCTCCTGTGGAGGTGCCGGGGACGATGGTTTCGCCCAGCCCTGCCCCTGACAAGGGCAGGGTGAACCCGGTGGAAGGGACAGAGCATACCCCTGGGACCCCTTATGTCCCGAGCCCAAGCCTGTGAAAAATGCAGGGCCAGGTCCTCTGGGTGTTGGATCTTGGCCACCGATGGCCACAAGCTGTTGACTGAATGGGGCCCTGCACGCCC